AAATGTCTAAAAACACAGGGGATTATGTCGAAATGGAAACAGAAAAGACTTGTACTGAACCACTGCTCCTCAAAGGGCTTTTCTCTAAAGTATACACTTGTGTTGGACATGGGAAGCAGCATTTTACCTGGACAGACCAACAGACTATGCTGAAAGTAAGGGAACAGAAACTACACACCAAATGGTTGGAGAAAGCAGCAGGAAGAGAAGTGCAGAGACACCAGCAGAGCCGGCACCAAAATGGGTGAGGTGACATGACATCATTTGTGTGACGAATGGGTGCTCTGAGGAGACCCACCAGAGGTGCAGGCACTGCAAGAGGGACTGTGAAATCTCAAATTAATGTGGGGAGAAAGACAAATATTCATACAGGTATAAAACAAGCTATTCAAGATATGTTTTCTCAGTTCTGCTTCTGTGATATGGTAGAGATGAAGACCTTTTGGAAGGCCAACGTGGGCCTTGGCCTTTGAAAGGAGATGTTACCATTGCCTGCTGGTGATCAGTCCATGATAGCAAATCAAAGGTCAAGTGATCAGAAAAGAATTAATGTAGAAAATGGGAAATGAAGATGAAGAATGTCCAGATGAAGGATGATCGTGCTTACTAGGGTGGGACATAAACCTCTTCAGGACCAGGTTAATGTGCTAGTCGGATGTCTCTGTGGAGATGTTGTCCTCTGGGACAGAGGGAAGGCAAATAGCTGAGGTGCCAAGAGGCACAGTCATCACCATCTACCCCACCAAAAATGTGTGACAGAACACTTACGAGTCCCTTTGAAAAGCACCACTCCAAACTTGTTATTTGTTTCTTCTTTACCCACTTTTTATACGCAATCATCTGCAGCTATTTGTGTGAATAAAGTCCAGTAATTTCTTGTGGGTCTTAAACCTCCTTTTTTTTAAGCTGTTGTACTGCTTTTGGGTTAGTATAATTAAGATCTAAAACTGGCACTGTGCTGAATCTTTCTGAGAGTGACACTTTTTTTTTTTTTTAAGATGAATTTTAACTGTGTTAATTACATCTACATTTGTTACGAGAAATCATAGTTTACTGCAAATTAGTTTTTTTATATATAAATTGATAATTACGCAGGATTGTCATAAATATTAACATAAAAAACTTACAAATGGATCGTTGATTTTTATTAAGAAATGCATAAGGAAGATCTTTCTGAGATGCATTCTAGATATATGTATTTACAGCACGCTAGTGTAGTTATAAAATACATAAAACATTTTGTAGTCAGATGGTACTTGCAGTCATGAGCAAGGAGAGCTAGACAACTGCTATGTTATAAAAATTACTCTGTGAGGGATTGTAAAAAGCTTTTATTTAACTATTAGAAATAGATAATTTCTGTTTAAAGCTGAATTTATTGGATAACTGTTCTGTCCTACTTACAGACTATTCTAAAACACTACCAGGGATGACAGAGAGAGGCCTGTCTAATTGACAGTATGACTTAGCTGCTCTGTTACCTCTAGGCGATCATTTATAGTTCTTAACAAACGTTCAAGCCTTTTGGAGAGTAACTGACTTCAAATGTTACTGACAAAAGCAAAAATGCATCAGAAAATGTCCAATCTAAAAATCAATTGTTTGTAACTCAGGTAATTGTCTTATTCATTGCCCCACCATGAAGCTATACCATTTTTTCATCTCTGCTTCTGATAAAGTCCCCTTCTGAGTCCATGACTAAATGTATATAAATGAAACATGAGTGGAGCTCTCATAGTTTGACACTATTTAGTTTAGAGGAAATATATATTAAGCTGCTTTGGTTCAAGTAAAACCATATATTGTATTTACTGTTGTTAAAATACTGCACAATGGAAGGTAGCGGAAATAGTTTTATTCCCACTTGGGTTTTTCAAAAAACGCTTATGTTTTAGATTCTCTGTCTCTCGGCTTGCCCTTATAAATAGATTTCAGAGCACATTTGATATGAGTTTCTCTCTCTTCTGTAAATAACCAAGAGAAGTGTCAGAATCAGTTCAAGTTTTGGTGAAGGCTTATAAATTATTACTCAGTTTCTGATAGCAAGCTGCTTTTATCTAATTACTCATTTTCTTTTAAAAATATTTGAGTCTGTAAAAGCAATCATGGTAAGAGGTGCAGACACTTTATGGTATTAGAGATATAAATCACATTCTCCACATAGAAGCAAACTTTCTTAGGTTGTGGTCTCTGGATCAACAGGAGTCCTCTGGGACTTTTCTCAGCTGACTCTGCACTGACATCTTTCTGTCAGAAGGAAAGGATCCATCTAGAAAGGTAATGCCACGCCAGCCCTACATGAGAAGATGACGGTGTTGAGGACGGCAGTGCTGTGGCAGCTGGTGACTCGGTGACATGAGGTGGGGGAGGCTGCCAACAAGCGTGGCTGGAGCTGGGCACAAAACTTCCTGTGGAGAAGTGTTTCAGCCGAGCAGCAGGTCTCAGCAAACAAGCCCTTCAGAGAAATAATTTGATTTGGACAAAATTCTGAGGCAATCTAAGCTGGGTGGTGGCAAAACCCACCTAACTTTGTGCCAACCTGTCTGGGCCTAGATTTGTTTTTGGCCTCCCTAGGCTTCCCAGATGGCAGCACTCTGGAAGAGGCCGTGTGGCAGCGGCCCAGGGAGGGGGCTGCAGAAACCCCGGGGTTTCGGAGGCCAGGGCACCCAGCCAGCTGGCCTGCCTTGGGCTTGGGCTGCCTCGGAATTTGGAAATGCTTCCTCGCTGCGCGACTTCGCTCTGATTTGGAATGAAACCAAAGAGCCAAATATTTTGTGAAACTGTTTCCTTCTGCACAGCAGAAACCTTTCCTGCCTCTGAAGCTGTTGTTGCGCAGAGGCAAGCATTCACTTGCAGTCACCACTGATACCAGGCTCCTGCGATGGGAATGAATCTCAACATCCATGAGACTGACCTGAAGACTGCCATTTTTGGGGTATGGAAGAAAACTGCTAAGCCCTGCTATCTCATTTTGGGGTTGTGTGTGTGAACAGCCATGAAAACCTCCTAGGATCAAGGGCATGAAGGAGCAGAGCAAAGATGCAGGTTTTGGCTCCGTATTATGCGTAGCTGCTCTATGAGATGTGGCAAACACAAGCGTGTGGAACCTGCAGGAGCAGGGCCATGCCTGTAACTGATGGCTGGATGCTGGATCTCACCACTGGCTGAGAGCAGCAGCTGAGCAGTAGAGCTAGGATCTGCTCCAGCCTTGCAGGTTTGATGGGACCATTTGAGATGGGACCACGTAGGGAATCAAATGGAAAAATATCACAATCAGTTTTCAATCAGTTTCAAATGCAAGCTTGCTGGAGAAGATGCTTCATGTAGTTTCATGCAGTTTGAGGTGGGGGTGGACTGTTTGCTCATTGTTGCAGCCTCCATAAAGCCATCTTTCTAGTGCAGGAATGTAATACATGCTGTGATGACAAAAGCAGTGTGTGTGGATGGATGGTCTGGCCACTACTGGGGATGCATGGTGGGTGGATGAATACAAAGACAAAAATCCATTATGTTAGTACCACTCAGCAACTAGTCCTTTTAGAAAGAATACCTACAAAACGCATAACCCCCCTGCTGTTTATATCTCCCTAGTTCAGATAGTGCCTCAGAAAAGAAATAAAGTCCTAGCTGCACAGGGTAAGTTGTTTGCCTTGCTTTAGTGAGGGCTGAACAGAGCTAATCTATAAACTACTATAAATGTTGCCTTGCAAAGGGAGAATCATTTTGGAGAAAAAAAAAAAAAGTGTTTTTATCTGAGTTCTTTTTTATATAAGCAGGTTATATTACTCTGTGGTTTGTTTCTGCCAGCATCAGCCATGTTACACTAGGCTTGAGGGTTACAATACTCTTCCCCTGAAAGATTTCCTTTGCTTGCATGTCTCTGAGCATGATATCTTTTATAAGCCATTTTATATTTAGTGAAAAAAAAAAGAAGTAATCCTCATGCAATGCAACTGGAATTCCTTTCCTCGACCATTACAGGGCAAACTTTTCCAGGTGAGATGCTGTCTCCTGCCTGCCTCTGTTGGCTGGAGGGTTACAAGAGTATACCTACCTGATGTTCTGTCTTGGAGGTTGATGTGCTTACAGTGCACATGTCAACTGTGCAAACATGCAGTCCTAATCCAAATTAACCAGAGTGAATCAGCAATTTAGCTTTCCTAAAAGTCACATCCACATTCTGTGTTGAGGCTTTTTTTTGTTAGCTTGGCTGCTGATAAATGAAATTAGTGTTGTGTCTGTATATTTACATCTCTGGCTATTGCTGTATCAGGATCGGTTCCGATTTTTGTTTTCATTGTAGTTTTTATTGTAACACACAGCTGATAATTTGGGTATGTGCTCAGCAATATTCATTTGAGGTTAGCCAGAGGTTACTTAATTATTGTGAAACTAAATCCAGAGCCCCAAGCTCCAAAGTGTGATGGGATTTTTATGATGGACTGTTGCATCCAAATCCTTGACTTTTGGTGGCATGAGTTTGACATGATTCCATTAGGTTTGATTTTGCGTCTTTCTTAAAGTCACTGCCGATAGGTTTAGCTCTTTTAGGTAACAGGGACTGATGGGTTGAGCTCAGGTTATTTTGATCACGCTGCAGCAGACCTAGACATGTCAGAGCAAAAGCTCTGATCCCACAGCACTGATCTGCCCGGGACGTGTTTGCCTTTTTGATGCACAAAGGATTTGTGTGATGGGACCCTTGTCACACCTGGTCTCAGAAGCATTAAACTCACACCTGCACAGCTCGGTGGATCAATGGGATTGCCACAGTGACCATGAGATCTCTGTTGCCTTGTTTCTGAAGGGAAGATTTAATGTTGGCAATGTATGGAAATCCTGGCTATCCAGCTCAGGGCTTTGCATGCTTTCTTCCACCTGGAAAGCATGAGGTAATATCTTTCCTGAGTGCTTTGTTACAGGCACCTGAGAGCAGTCTCCTTTGTTTATTTATCCTGCCTGGGGACTGGTCAGTGCCCCTAGAGAATGGATTACAGAAACCTACAGTGGTTTTGGGGCAGCAATTATTTATTTTGGGCTAATGAATTCAGGAGCATGAGCTGCTTGGGTGGAGAGAAAGCAAATGCAAAATCCCTCCAAATTCATGTTGTTACGCACTGGAGGAGAGCCATGGGGACAACCACCAGAATGGGTGAAGTGACAACTTGGTTTCAGAGCTAAAATGAGAGGCTGTAAAGGACAGGTGGCTGCAGCCAGTCTGTCCCTGTCTGAGGGGTGGATGTTGCTGAAGCTGCTCTCATTGTGCAGAGTGAGGAGAGCCATGAGCCTGTGCCAGAGGAACGGCTGGGAAAAATCAGTCAAGAAAGAAATTACAAGCAAAAAGGCAACAAAATGAGTGGGCTCCTGGCCAGGCTCTCTAAGGCAGATGGCACTGTTGGTTGCAACAGCTGCAACTGAAAATCCAGGAGACAACAGGGGGAGCTGACAAATGTTTAAAGATTGCTACCAGCTGTTGAGCCCAAATGATATCTCCTTCTCTACAAAGGAGAGAAAGCTTTGCACTGTGACTCCTTTACCTTCTCTTCATCACTTCATGGTAAAGATGCTATTTAGACACTGCTAGAAGGATCAAGCTCCTGAATGCCAGCAGTGTGTTATCCTGCAGCAAGATCCTTAAGCCCTGATGGATTTGCAGCCTCCTCTCAATTTCTTTTCCAAAGCAGGTGAGATGTTGCACGCTCATTCATCTGGCTCTGCAGCCTGATGGGCTCCTCGCTGCTGTTTTGGCAGTAGTTGTAGCTCGTCTGGTCGGGTGGAGAGGGAGAAGTGGCACTTCAGGATGTGCAGGGCTCTTCCACGTTGAGGACTGCTTCCAGGCCCCTTGCTTGCTCCATTTGCCTCCCAAATGCAGTTAATGCTGCAGAGCTGTCCTTTGAAACCAGCACTTTCCTCAGCTTGATCTGTGCTGTTCCTGAACGCTGTTTGACCCAGCAAACTTGGCCAGAGCAGTCTGGCCTTTCCTCTGCCCCTTGCATGTGCTCAGCTTGCTAAGGAAGCTGGACTCCTCTGGGAACAAAAGCACAGCTCTGTGCCCACTCTTACCAGGCACTTTTCTCTGCTGTTAAATTTGGCTGTAGCCTCTGGTAATCGTCTTCCCCTAGGAACACTTTATTTTTATTCACAATTGGAAATAGGAGCGTAACTGCCAGTGTTTGAGGTGCCCGCTCTAAATGTGTGAGGCCTTTCACCCAAAGGAGTGCTCGTGAATGTGTTGTTTTCTATCCATAAGCTGTTGGTAGGAGAGAGGTTTTATTAAATTTCTGCTAGGTCCCCACACAATTCTTAAATGGCAGAAAAATAGATCGATATTGGGAATTTATCTTCCTTCCTAATCCTGTTGTGTTGTTGTTTCATCTGAAGCTTAGGAAATATACTTCACCTGAGTTAGCGAGGCAAAAAATTGAGTTTTGGTGAATCTGCAGGTGACTGCTAAGAAGGAATGGGAAGCATAGGAAACACTTTAAGCAGTTGTGATGGCAACCTTTTTTTTTTTTTTTTAACTGCTTATAGCTAAAGGTGATGACAAAACATGTCATTGAATTCATCCATGTGAATCCTAATAAGTACGTGAGAGCACAAAGGGATATCAGAGGACAGAGCTGGTCACTGGCAAGAGTGAGGTGGGTACTGCAGTGTGCCAAGGTGAGAAACATGAGGGCAACATTATCTTTCCTGTCATGTACTTGCCAAGATGTAGCTCTTGCTTAGGCTGGTGCTCTAGGGTTGATGTTGCTTTCTCCCTTATGCACAGTGAAGTAAAGATTTTGGATGGATAAAGCAGGTCATGAAATTGTATAGGCAAACCAACTCACTGGTTAGGGTGCTCTGGTTACCAGCATCGACACAGCAAGCTCAAAAGCTCTGGCTTTGTGCATCAGTTCAACAGGAGACTCTGTCATACAGGCAGATCAAAACAGTGGGATTTTTTAATTTATTTTTTTGCAATTGTATTCAGCTGTGAACTCTGTTCATTTCAGTATGGATAATTACTCCCAAGTCTCTTTAGTCGCTTTCTCTGTCAAAGAAATATTCCTAGCTGGGTTTCCCTTAAGTGGGACCATACCTGGCTTTGCTGCCGTTGTCTGATTAAGCCTGCCATGGCTTTTGTGCTTAATTATACTGCAGAGAAGCATGAATACAGCAGGGGACTAAAATGACTTTTTTCTCAGACGGGTATTTAACTATCTGTGGCAGGTACCAGCTCCTACATTAGGTGGTTTTCTCATGCCTGCAGTCCCTGTATGGATTCAACTCTGAGTGCTCTGCTTGCTTGCTAAAATTATCTTTACTATGTTCTTTCAGCTTCCCCTGGAAAATAACCGGTTGGAAAACTTCAGCTGGCACATTTTATGTTGGGTTTTATAAAAGCAAAATTATTCAAAAATTATGGATTTTGTGACACGTAGAAAGGCAACAGACATTTTTATTGAAGAGGTTGACATATGTGGCACAAAACATTTCAGGGGTTTGGTGTTAAATTATATTTCATTTTGAATTGACGATATTCAGAAAAAAAAGTGTCATAAATATTTCAGGGAGCCTAAGTGAGTCTGTCTTTGAGTTCTGCATGGCTATTATATCTCCCATTTTAAGTTTTTTCATTGCAACTTTTTCAGGGCATTTTCTTGGCAAGCAGCATAGCCAGTTTTCAGTCAGCCTTATTATATTGTTATGGTGTTAACTTGTGAGGCATTTTCAAACATTTTCATAAACTGGTGGGACAAAGTCATGACTGCAAGGACACATTTTGTACGTGACTAGTGAAGACCCTCAATAGCCTGTCTGAAAATCTGGCACAGTTCTAGACTAATTCTTAAATAATGTCCATACAGTTAATGCACATCCACCAAAGCTGACAAAATCCTGGGTTCCTCTGCACTCCCAGCATGTTAACATACTGCTGGGCTCTCCTGGAGATGCTGGGGTTGCTGATGCCAAGAGTTCCTTGTGTTGTGAGTTCACAACAGTAGGGGAAAATCAGATCTAGCACCTATTCTGTCATAGCTACTTATGAACAAATCTAACAAAAATCAGAAACTTTCGTTTGGATGACTGACAGTTCATGGTGGTCTGGTCCAAAACACTGGACTACATTTTTTTTTTCTTTCTTTCTTAGTGTAGATTGATTATTCCACTATTTCCATATTTTCTGTATTTGGGATTGCATTTTGGAACTGGGTAGTCTATGCAATGTGAGATTTGAAATCCACTCCTGTGGCTAGAAAAGCACCTTTGGTAAAATGCTAGTGCTTTTGAAGACTAAGAGCATCCTCTCTAGAGTAGTCTTCAAACGTAAGGATTCATCTCTTCTGTCTCCCTGTAGCAAAATACAGATTTGCTTTTCCTGACTCCTGCATTCCTATGTCATGCCACAGTGACTTCTCATGGACCAGACTATGCAGCACCATGCTTTCTGGACTACTGTTTTCTGCCTCCTGCTTTCTTGCTTGTAGCTGCTTAAAAAAGTCAGCCACTACTATACCTGGAAAAGCACATGGCTCCTGGATAGACTGCTGTGTGCCATTGTCATTGTTTTCTCTCAGATCACAGATGATACTTAGGAAGCTAATCGGAGAGGAGATCACAAAATGAGGACAAAATTCAGGTGTTTACTCCTGAAGGTTTCCTTGAAGGTTTTGAAACACCTGAAGAAGCTATATCTGCTTAAGCACTGATCCCAGAAATTATCACTGATCAGAAGATAGGTTATCTGTTTTGCAAACTAAATTTTACTTGACACAATGCATCATTTTACATTGTTTTGTGATATCTAAACAGGTGCATGGCTCTCAACCTTTCTCCAAAACTGTGTACTCTGTTTAGAAAACACATTTCCCTCTCCAGCTTCACTAGAGGTTTGTTTATTATTAAAGAAAAAATTCTTCATGGAGCACTGTTTGATGCTGGACATGTGTCATATATATATTATTTTGTTTTGGTTTGGGGAATCTGCTTACTAGAATGAAGCAGATAGTTCAGAGAAGCATAGCGCAATGATGAGTGAGGCTTGGCGAGAATGATTTTAGAGAAAAATGTAACACTGAGAGTTTTTTTGGTTGTGATGACTGCTAGAGCGTGAAAGGAGAGCATGCAGCCAACCTACAAACTCTGAGGGAGTACACGGATGTAGAGATACCTTTGTACATGGTCAAATAAGAAATCTTTTAAGCAGTATGAAATTTAAGCAATGGGAAGTGGTAGGGAATCTGGAAGTAGAAAATCTCAGGTGAATCTTGAGAGTCTAAAGAGAATCCTTGCCCTTGGGAAAAAAAAAATCTTTGCCAACAAACACTCAGCTTGCTGCTTTTCCCATGATGTTCTGAAGAAACTCGATCACTTATTTACTTCATTTTACTTACATGAGGGTAAGCAAAACACTCCACCAAGTGTCAGGGTGCCAGCCTGCCTTCCTGGCTGGCTGGAGGGCAGCTGCCTGTGGCACTTCAGATTGCCCAAGGCTTGACAAGGCCCTGCCAGGAAAGGGAAGCTCCTATTCACACACACACACACACACACACACAGAATCACAGAATTTCTATTCCACCTCTTCTATGAGTTTCAGCATGGGTTGTGTCTTTAACTACATTTCAAGATGCTGTGTATCACCTGCACTGCAGTGGCAGGGTAATCCTGGCAAGTGTGGCATTTCAGGCTCGCTGGTGGCTAAGCTAACTGAATTACCATGTGTTCGTAGTGGTTCTCCCTTGCACTGTGACAATATAGGTAGAATATAGGTAAATTCCTTACTTAACTCTGTTAGGTTAGTCTTTAAAGATAAGTTCTCTGAGTACCCAAAAGCATCTAGCTTTCTTTTCCTGAATATAGGGAAATAAAACTGAGGCATCAAGATGCCTTTTGACTTACTCTGACATTGTTTGTCCTTTCCTTGGCACCGTCATCTGTATTTCACTAGCTTGGATTTATCTAGGGATGATCACGTCAATGATATGTATATTTATTGCTTATTTTTGCTCTTCATCTTATCTTTTTTTCTGGTCTCCGCATAAACTTGAGGCAGCATTGCCTGGAAAGTGTGGTGACAGGGACAATTTTCTTTAAAATAAAAGGCAAAATGATGCTGGGCGTTGGAATTTCTCCAGGGAGAAGCCTTACCTGCTGTCCTGGTATTGTTAAAAACCAGATGCTGCTGGAAGCACTCTGTAACTGCTGATCGTCACCTCTGAGAGAAGAAGTTGCTGCTCTACATGCAGAAACCTCCCTGAACCTCAGGGCAGAAGTGTCATAGCAGCATGTCCTGCTGCTGGGGAAACATGGGGGTATGTATTCATAATCATGCTGGGGACCTGACCTGCCTGGCATGGTACAGCTCCAGCTGTGAGGTTTCCATAGCATTTATGATGTTCTCCCACAGCTTTTTAAAAAACTTCACATTGTTTCATGGTGTAAAAATTCAGACACTCAAACTTGACAGCCGTACAAGACATCTCACAGCTTTGCTATGCTGTGTCCCTTCCATGGTTATAGGCTGACCATCATCCTGAAATTCTAGCTGGCATACAAGGATATCACTTAAAAAGAAAAAGGAAAAAGAAAAAAAAAAAAAAAACAATAAAAAAAACCTTTTTCATTTAGAATGAAAGCTGTAGTTATGGTCTTACACTGAATTTACTTAGAATCACAGAATGCTCTGACTTGGAAGGGATTCACAAAGATCATTGAGTCCAACCCTTGGCTCCACACAGGACAACCAAAAATCAGACCGTGTGTCTGATAGCTCTGTCCAAATGCTTCTTGAGCTCCAGCAGGCTTGGTGCCATAAGCACTGCCCTGGGGAGCCTGTGCCAATGCCTGACCACCCTCTGGGTGAAGAACCTTTCCCTAACACCCAATCTACTTCAACACAGCAGTAAAAAGAGAATTGTTCTTGTTTTGTTGAATCATTTACCTTTCCCATTCATCTTATGAATGGTAAATCATTTACCATTTACCATTCATTTTATGAATCATTAATCGTAAAACTAAAAATGCAATGTACATAGAAAAAGACTGCAAATATAGCATAACATATGTACTTACCAATTTTAAACGTCTCATCTAATGTACTCCATCATATGTGCTTGGTTCAGTACCAAGAAGAAATTATAAAGATTATATTACAAAGAAATATAATCCAATCTGTTTAATCAAAATTCTGCATAGGCAAGTTTAAGAGGAAGAACATCAGCTACAGTAGGATTTAAACTGTGCTTACAGATTTCAGAATTTCAACTGATTTCATTTTTATAAGTAAAATTTTAGATTTTATTTGTAAAGAATTTAGTTTTCAATTTTTATTCCAAATTAAATTTCAGTTGTGAAAATAACCCTAACAATTTACTGTTATAATAAAAATTATAATTCTTAAAGAAATCAGCTTTTGTTAAGATTAGTGATAGCTATAAGATATATACCAAATGTGAAATATGAATGCAAGATTTGAAAAATATTTATTTTAGAAAGTGTTTTTTTTTTTTTTTTTTTTAAAAAAAAAAAAAAGCTTCTTAATTTAAAATTGACTGACTGGGATAGTTACCAGAAATATTCTTTATTAAAATACTTAAGTTTATATGATTTGTTTTCTTCTATCAAAAATTAAGCTTGTTTTGGTAAAGGATTGCTCTTTTGACAAATGTCCTTTTTTTTTTTTTTTTTTTTTTAGTATCAGATTATTAAGGCTATGTTTTAAATGTTACTTTTGCAACTTCTTCAATATGAATTGACTTTTTATCTTTTTATGTATTTTTACATATTTTTAAATGTAGTGCATAGGGAAAAGACAAGCCAAAACATTTCAACACTTTACAATGAAAGTAAAATAATTAAAAATTATCACTATTAAAAGTTTTGATCAGCTGGACCCATTTTTTTTGTCCAATTTTTCTGTTTTCTGATTCTGAGCTAGAAAGAATGCTGATTCTCAGAACAGCCTTTTTGATCAGATGGAGTTGTGCTTCTGATCTTTTAAAATCCCCTCTAACTGAAGACCTTTAAATAAACAGTAATATTTCTAAATAACTCAGTGTAACCAGATGTAATTATTCTTAATAATCATATTTTTTTTAGCTTTTTGAGGATACATTTTTTTTCATGTGCTTCAAAGCATAAAAGTGATAGAAGTTTCCACTTGCAGGGGAATGCATTAACAGGTAAAAACAATTTTCATTCTCCACAGACATGCAAATGCCAGTGTGTGTAGAGAACAATTTTACCTTTTTTAGAGCTCTGTTGTCAGTAGAGTTCTTCACTGTCATAGTCAACTGGAGCATCAAGCCTTGGACACGTAGTGTAGTTTCACAGCTTCAGTTAAAAGTCTGGCAAATCCTATAAGCTTGACTCTGATAATGTTTGAATTCTTCACAAAAGATGTATGTATATATCTACAAAAATAAGGTATATTTATATTTCTAGCACTTTGCAAGCTCATGTCTTTGCTGGTGAAGTTGAATTCTCTCTATTGATTTCATGAACATCATTTGGCTTTGCTTGCGTTTTGCTGTGCGTTTTTTTTTTTTTTTTCCCTCCTTCTTTCCCAAGGCATGTAATATCTGTAAAAATAACATTGCTTTATTTGATCGCTGTGAGAAGATGTTTTGACTCCAGTTCCCAAATGTACCTGTGCTACAGACAGAATGAAAGCACAAACCAGCCAGTACATTTTTATTATGTATGGTGTCAAGAAATAAGCCAGAGTTATTAATGGTATTTGTTCTGGTCATAGAATTAAATCCTATTTTAATCTAAGAGGGGTGAAGGAAAATTAATAGTATTTGTTCTGAAATGTGGTACTGTTCTCTACATACCTGAGAACAGCCTGGAAGTTTTCTCCTTCTGAAAAATAGTTTGCCTCCTACATATTATCAATATGAATTCAATTTGCAGAGTAGCTCTAGTCCCAGAATGGTATAATCTCAAAAATAATAACTTTCTGCTTTCCCCTTGCCAATCTCCACTCCAGCTCGTGCTGGTGCATCACAATGCATGGTGCACAGCTGCCTCCTCACTGCACCAGCACGGAGCACTTCACCTATAAATTGTGAAGGAACAGGCTGTACTATCTAATGTCTTCTTTGACCTGGGTATCACTATGACTGTGAGAGATTATGATTTACTGTCTCTCAGGCAAATGTGAAAGAGGTTTGTGTGGCACCTCCATGCTTAACAAACCCCAAACCACTCAGGTGGGTCCACCTCACAGACTGGGAGCTTCCCCTTTGTTGTCCTTTCCTAGATGAGGGTGATTATGTGAGAGGATCAGAGAGCGAGTCAGCCAGGGACCTTAGCTCCTACAATCTGAGCTCCTGTGTCTTTACTGAGAGAATGACACAGTTTCTGCCTCCTTGCTTTGATCACTGGTGCAAGTGTGGGGAGAGATACACAACCAGCATCTTGGAAACATTGCTTACTTCTGAGGTATGGCACAGTACTTTTGAATTTCGGAAACAGGTTAGAGAAGGGGCCTCTCCTGACACATGGTTGTTCATCCACAGAGAAATCTGTATGCCACACAGCTCGGTCAGCTGGCGTCATCTCCCTCTGCCCATGAACCGTTCACCCTTTCTTCTTTTTCTCCTGCAATTCCTGTCAAAGTCCTGTTCTGCTGAACTCATGCCAGGGAAAGCCTCTCCAAAGATAGCTCTTTTCTTTTTTTAAATCTCCTAAAATAGCTCTTCCATTGTTTCTTGCCCGTAGGTATGGAGCTGAAAGATGGCTAACTCAGAGCAGGAAGGCTCTCTGAGAGGTTGGTTAGGAGAAGAAAAGTTTTCTTCTGCAAGGTACTATTGCTGTCAGACACACATGATGACTAAGCATTTATTTCCCTCTCTTGGTGGTCTGATCAGGCTTGCCCTGAACCCATAGATTCATAACATCATTCAGTCATGTTACTGATGCCATGCCTAGTGATATAGGTTGAACTATTTATGACTAAATAATTAACATAGTTGGCCAAATCCAGCCCTAGCTGTATGCCTGGTTTATGCCAAGACTGAATTGAGTCCAGTATCAATAACAACACGCCTTCACGGATGTCTTTTAATAAAATACTGTACTGAATTTATTTCTTGTTTTATTTCCTCAACAGTATAAGAAAAGTAATTATGTTTTGAAGCTAAATCACTTGGCTGGCATGCACCTTGTCAGGTTCAGTGCTAATTAGGCAGCTTAAGTCCAAAATAGAAAAGGGTTGTAAACCATAAATTGAATCCTGATAGAGACACTCTAAGTAAAGCTTCCACCTTGACTCCTGGTTGCTCCTGTTCCAGAAGTTGTAATGGGTTGGCTGTCCATCACTGCTGACCAAGCTATTGCTGGTCAAGGACTGGAGTATTTGGCACAGGAAAACCGATGGGTGTCTAGTGTAGTCTGCTGTTGTGAACATTTAGACCCTTGCATGGAGCAGTCTGTGGTGAATAACTTCCCTGTGCCCCCTGTGCATGTGAAGCACTGGTGCTGAAGCATTTCCCAGTCCTAGCACTTGTTGGGCCCTGTGCGTTGCTTGCACTTTTCTTTTTAAAAGCTCTTTCAGAACGACACCGCTGAAAGAGTTTGAAACCTTCCCCTAATTTGCAGGCTGATGTAGGCTTGTTTTATATCCTTTTGTTCTTGGGCCAGTGCAGCCTTGCAGTTTCATTGGATTTATAATTGCTGATGTTTATTCATGTCTTATTCATAAAGCTCTTGTATCCCTGCCCAGTCTTCCTTTTGCTGATATGGATGCCAAGTTCTTCTGATATCTTCTTCTAATGGTCCTACAAGCTTTTTCACCGTACTTCCTCCAGTTCAAGATTATCTTGGCTGTAAAGTCTTTTATTGCTCTGAGAGGGGTAAAGTGAAAGGTAATGCTTCTGCCAACAGCTATTCATGCGTGTAGCTTTATATGAGTGAGTACTGTCTAGTACAATAGGCATTGTCCTTGTCTACCTTGCAAAGTTACGAGTGGTTGGAGAACTGTCTTTGGCAAGGCAAGCTCTATTTCTGCCGGTTATTTCTCGATATTAGCTCTACTGTTGCTGAGATTCAGAACAACCGTGCTGTGTACAGGCTCAGGACGTTTGCAGTTGTGCTGAGCACTGCTTCTTGCTCAGCTCATCCAGAACACACGGTCATGCTAAGTTACCAAGTGTTGGGGTCTCTCCCTCAAATTTATATGCATGCTTAAAGGGAAAACCGTGTGCTAGGTGAGTCTGGATTTGGAACCAAGCTTTAATCCAGGCTCAACTGACTGTGTGCTCAGGCCCAGAAGACAGCTCACATGCAGTATTACTCCCTTGCAGTGCTGCTCAAGCCCCAGGGTTTGCTGGTGAGCAAAGGCAGCAATGCTTTCAAAAGTCTTTGAGGGCTTGTGTGACAGAAAGCCAGTCTGCAGATTCAAAGCCGTTTCCCCCAGTAACTTGTGAGGCACAGCCATGTCCTGCTGCTTTACTCCCAGTTACACTGAAGACAGTTGAAATTAGTCTCTGCAGAGACCCATGCATAGCACACCATCAGCTCAAAGTCCCTCAATAACAGGTGAGGAGTGTTACTAACTCTGCAGTGGGATGACTTTCCTCTCAAGTGCATTGAAATGTGGAGAAGGAGTGCAATCCTGAGAGTCTGGAGGCTGAGAAAAGTTGGCTGAGCACTCTGAGTGCCAGACCCATTGGGCACATGTCCTCCAAGCTCCCTGCTGTGATTTTGTTCCCTATTCATCTGCCCCTTGCCTGCCTTGGGGTGGCTGTTCCCTGCTCACCCACACACCCAAGTGAGGGTGATGCTGAGGCAGGGGAACGTCTGTCCTTCCACTGCTGCTGATGGGATTTAAATGTTGGTTGGAAACGACAGGGAAATTTTTAGAAGGGTGCATGTGGAAAGCTTCATTGAGCACTGAGGTCACAGGTAGGAATCGTGGAACTATCAGACTCCTGAGTCACAGCCATCTCTCAGTTCATCTCTAAAGGCTTTTCAAGTGTAAAAGTTGAAAAACAACCTGGGTAGGACATAATGATGTTTTTTTACAGATGCATCATATCCCTGAGGACTGCAGTAATAGTAATAGAGAGGGAAACAGACAAAAACATAATGGTGAGTATTAAGAATTTGTTGGATTTTTCTCTTCTTTTTCCTTTTCTTTTTTTTTTTTTTTAGAAGTCCTGTAAAATCTAATTCACAGAGCATAAGCATTAATTCAAAACATTTGCTCACTCTACACTCTTGCTACCTGATCTACCTGTCTTGCTGATATATATACTGCAGATACAGATTTATTTCTACAGATAAGTATTTTTGTATTTTGGTAATAAATTCTTTTCAAAAGAGTGACTCCCCAGGACTGAGGTCCTGTGGTCTGATTGATTTAAATGCTTGTATGAGACTCTGCTTTTGCTGTCTGGCAAAACAGCTGACATAAATTTGACTCTGGAGCCAAATAAATTGAGTAACTGTACTAAATTGTTCTAAAGAGGGAAGATGTATCATGAGACAGCTAATAATGCATACTCAGGGTGTAAGATATAAAATAAATGAAATCCTTATGAACACAGAGAGGTTGTAACCAACAGTAGAGTCTGAGCCACTTCTGAAAATTACCCATACCGGGTAATTTTCAGAATCTGCCTCACGTCTGAATTTAAGAAGAGATTGGACTGTGCTCTTAGTCACATGGTCTGAACTTTTGGGTAGACCTGTGCGGTGTCAAGAGTTGGACTTGATGATCCTTAAGGGTCCCTTCCAACTCAGGATATTCTATGATTCTATTCTATTCTATGATTCTATACCTCTGCTACCTAACTGTATGTGTGATCATGTATCCTTGTGACACCTGAATAACAGAGAAATACAACAAATGGAAAGTAGGCATGGGTGCCAATGCCTACAGTGCTCAAATTTCTGTCAGCAGGCACTGGACATGGACAAAAAGTAGGTTTAACATCTGAAATTAAACACCTCAAATCTGACATGTTAGACTTGCAAGAAGGTTTAGAAAATGTAGTGTATATAAAGTATTGAACCGAATAAAAGAGCTGCTGACATTATCATCTTACTGAGGCACAAATGGTTCTACAAGAATATAAAAGCAAATTGCTCAGTAACATCTATGCTTGAGCAAGCACTTTTGGTAACAGTTCTGTAAGAACAGCAATGAAGATTGGGGAAGAAGGCATTTCTGAGGGATTTCATCTTTCATATTTGTTTTATGATTATATGTACGTGTATTTCCATTCTGTGCTAGTTATGTAGGATTTTCTTGTGAGCACACTTCTTCCTAGATCTTGTTTCTTACTGGACAGTGTTTTTGGCTGTCGTCTAACATTCTAGTTTAAATGTGATTGCAATGGAAATGTTACAATGCTGCTCTGCAGACCAGGAGAGGCTCACTGGAGGTCTAAGCTTTAACACTACAGCCATATTAAAGACTGTTTTAGCAAAACTTCGTTCTAGATAAAATAGTAAACTAAGCATCACAGATTTTGTGCCTTGCAAGTGATATTGAACAGTTTCTAAAAGTACATTTTTGATATTAATTTGGAAAATGGCAATGAAGAAGAGTAAGAACATTTCTCCTTTTCTTATGATCAGTGGCAAAATTCAAAATTCCCTGAACCTCAATGAGACAAGGACTGGCTCAAATGTTATAACAGTAGCTATACCAACATAACTAATTCATAAAAGAATAAATATCCCAGTGGATTGTTTGATTCAGTTTCATGTCACTTCAGGCTTATTCCAGAGAAATGACTTTACTTTTTCTGCTTTAAACTGAAGTAGTGCATTGCTGGAGAAAAGCCAAACCAGAATAGGCCTATGCAGCTCATTTTTATGGAAGAAATACAGCCAACAGCACAGGCAGAAGGTTTTCAACACATATTTTTCTTTAAAAAAAAAAAAAAAAAAAAAAGAGTAATGCAAATGTGTGTTTGTTTGTTTGTTTGTTTTGTTTTTCCCTAATTTCTAATCATTTTCCTTGGTATTCTTGGGGTACTTTCTAACTGACATGTGGTTCATCAAAAGCGCAATCATTTTTGGCTGAGAACTGAGAAATGCTGTCTGCAGCAGGGATTTGAAAATTCCTGAATTCCAGTTGCTTTCTATAGCAAGAGCTGCAGGGCATTTGGGCCCTTTTGTTAGCACCCGGTGCCATCTGAGTGCAAATACTTGTAGCACATCTGATGAGAGCAGCCCCAACCAAGTGCACTGGGCTGTGCTCACAACCTTTTCATTCTGTGAGGTGGCTCTTTAGCAGGTAGGATGTGCAGGTGCTTAGGTCCCTGCCTGGGACTGTTATTTAGACACATCTCACCGACACTAAATGTGACTAACAACTCATCTTCTTTGCGTTAAGTGGCTTAATCAGATATGAGATGAAAGATGGGTACAAGCTGGAAACAGAAAGGGACTGCGAGCCTGCCCAAATGCAACGTTTGCTTCTCTCAAAATGTTGATTGAAACGAAAGTTAAGACTTAGCTAGCAAGCCTGATTTAAAAAAGACAGAAATCCAATGGAATACATTTAGAGTAGGTGTCTTTCAGTCTGCTTTTTACTTGGTTTTCTCAGCATTAATACAGCACCAGAAATACTTTGCAGCTTCTCTCTCTGGTGGGTGCTTATTGCATGAGTGTGATCATGCCTTTTGCCTGCTATAAGGAGACAAATGACCATAATCTTTAATGTTTAAGCTAAAAGTCACTAAGGAAAACATAAAAGCAGCTTTTTTATGTCATTAGCGTGAGATACAAAGAGTAGGATCTCCGTTTTTCTGGAAAGGGTGTTTCCATTGCAGATGGGGAGCTGTTTCCTTTAGGTTGTGGATGTGCCAGGACATTCTGTTATCTTATGACAACCACAAATGTGTCTTGCCTCTCTGCTGGTGCAGCTCTCCTCCCTGCTAGCTGCTTGCAGCACTTTGCTCTGCAGGTGTGGGAGAAGCCTGGAAAGGACCTGGCAGGAATTGTGGCTTCCTTGGGAAAGAGTGAGGAAGCTTAGGAAGATGCTCTCTGGTTGTCCCTCAGTCCTGTTACACAGCAGAACTGCAGCAATGGCACAGTATAGCTGTGCTGTCGGTTTGTTGTCTCCTAACAAGTGTGGCTATTTGAGACACCTAAACTCATCAAGAATGGAGATGTACATGCTGGTTGGCCTGCCTGGCTAATGCTGAGAAACTAGCAAAGGGAAGGAACAGTGTGGAAGGATGGAGGTCTTAGAGAAGCTATGCTCAAAGAAGATCAGGAGTGTGAAGGCATGGAGCAGGATAAACACAGTGAGAAGGCAGTTTGCTGCGGAGTTCAAGACTTTATTTTTCTGCTGCTTTGTTGTTCTGGCTTGTCCCTGTGCTTCGGGGCATCTCGCCTTCTGCCATCAGCTAAGAATTGATCTGCAGTGTTGAGCCAGAGAACCGCAAAACCTTAGTTACCAGTTGTGGTTTGAGGATGGCGTTTGGACTTCCACATTTAGTGCTGAGACACATTGGCTGGGAAAGGAAAAGAGCTGCTGAGCCTGTTAAGAGACCCACAGGGGAACAAGTGCTCAATGAGATAGTTTGAGAGCTGCTAGTTGTTTTGGCAACCCCTATTAGACATGGCCCATAATTACTTCGGTAGCTATAGAGGAGTGCAATTTCCTTTTAATTACTGTATTAGCAAATGTATCAGTAGGGAAACTAAAAGAAAAGAAAAAAGTTGCTGAATTTCTTTCAGAACTGTTCTTTGTGACTCTAGGAAGGCAAAAATATTTGGACAGAAAGAAATTATGCTCTAATGAGCCCCAAACAAACACTGATTCAGAGACTGAGAGGAAAATAGCTATTCTAGATAGCAGAGAGCTGGCCTCTAGCACACTCCTACAAAGTGGAAATAATAGCCTCTTTCCACTGTGATTTTAAAATTGTACCTCAGTGCTGCGTCTTTGATGCTTTGTGATAGATGCCAAGACTGGAGACTGCTCTGCTCCAAGTGTGAGTCAGATAATAAAGCAATTTCTGAGCTGTAGCAGCATTGCACCTTTTCCTTTGTTTCCTCTGAGAGATACTGTAAGGCTACATTATCAAGATTCACCCTTCCAGGCCAATATTTTATTTTTAAATCATCTTTTAAAATAACCTGTGAGTCCTGAAGGGGACGTCTTATCTCCCATCATGGGCTTGTCTCCTCAAGAATCTGAAAAGAAAAGTGCTGCACACATTTTCTTACCTTGAATCTCAAACAAAGAAAAGAAATTCAGTAGATTTCCTGACCTCTTCATCTTCTCTCTGAGAAACTTCTGAACGCTAATGATCATTAAATTGCTCTTGCTCTGTTGGTGTGTAGCACTTCAGTCAGCAATCCTTCCCGAATCAATAACGGCAGGCAATCTACCGTGGCTTCTCCAGTGTTTACATTTAAAGATAATACCCACGATGCTTGAAAAAATGAAACGTTTCATTTTGAAGGTGTAAGAGCTGGAAAAGCTCTTAAAAAGGCTTTTATAGGCTGTGAAGTGATCAAAGCATTGGGCTACACTGTAGCCACCCCGCTGCCCAGCTGGGCGCTGAGCCACGGGGGGAGCGCAGCTCTGGGCAGGCTGGCAGCGGGTGTCCCCGCAGGCATCCCCCGTGAGCGAAGCACGGAGGGTTGTGCAAGTGCAGCTGTGAGAGGAAACACCGAAGGAAGAAATGAGGCAGCTGAAATGAAGGCAGGCAGCAAATGATGATAACATCAGAGGACTTTGTTTTGAAGTGAAAACCCTCACGCAGCCCATTGCGCTGCAGTAGATGAGATGGCTTGGTTGTTCGTGCGCCTCTAGCTATAACCTCGGAGTAAAGGAAAGCATTAAGCCAGTTTAAAGGCTTTTCCAACCTTTTACTGAATTACTGTGGGGCTGACTGTGTGAATGCACACACCTGCTTAGCCCTGGTGTTTCCTAATTTCTTAATATTTGTTTTAAAAGCCACAACAGTGGCCCCTCAACATCACTTTTGATGATGTGTTTCTATACCGCGTTATCTACCAGCAGCAAATTTGCCAGACTAGCAGTTTCAGCTGAAGTCTCTACTGCATCCCACAGGGAATCTATATATATATTTATATATTTTAACCCGTCTGACATGTTTCAGCCCAAATAGTTTGGCTGATCTTTAATTCAGAGGAAGATGTGTCATTCTGTAATGTTAAAACAAGAATTGCGATGAGAAACTCTAGTGCTTCACAGAGTTTGAAATTGGAAACTAATGAGTCCAACATGGTTAGAGGGAACTGGGAGGCAGTGGGAGGGGTGTGATGCCATAGCTGGGGTAGGAGACCTGGAAGGTTTGGTGTACTAGCATTTGACTCACGAGCATCATGTGTGAGAATAGCTCAGGACTTCAGTTTTCCTTAACTCCTTGAGCAATATCTGAAGCTGACAGAAATGCTTTTCGGCAGAAGAACTAGTTCTTTAGTGCTTCTTGAAAACAGCCAGAGACTTTCTTTTAATTTCTTTTCCATCATTTTGATATTTCATTTACTTCTGCTTCTTCTCTCAGAGACTTTGATTTAATTCTTTTGATAGACAGACACTGCTGAGCACTTTCTCCCTCACCTTGCAGAGATAAGGATGTTGCAGTCTCTGTGCTCCTGCACAGAAAGAGCTGGGAAAGCAGCATAGGGGATGAATCCATTGCAAAAAACAACAACAACAAACTGAAAAAGCAAGCAGAAGAGCAAGGGCAGAAAACCTCTGATCAGAGTTTGTATTTCAGTTCTGCTCTATATCCAAGCTGACAGATACATCTTTTTCTTGTTGTCTGTTCCTTCCAAATATCCCCGTGGGACAGCCGATGTTGCAGCAGGGTTAAGCCAACTTCCTACAGACTGTTAATATACAGTGGACCTAAAGAAGGGAAAGATTTCACCTTCTGGCCTGAAACGGGCAACAGCTCTCCCCTGTTAGTGCCTCTGCAGATAAGGTGGCAAGCTGTGTTTGGGTGTAAATAGGTGGCTCAGACTGATTATGTGCATTTATATTTTGTCTTCAAGACAGACCCTTCCTTCATGCTTGGCAGGGACAGTGGCAATGACAACAGTCATGACAGTGTCAGTAGCAACAGCTTTGTGGAAGTGAACCTCCATCCAGTATCACCTCAGGCTTCTCGGCTGTGTTTTGCAGTCACAAAATTGAATGTGAGAGGACGCAGGTAATGGCTTTCCATCATTGTATCTTCCTGGGGCTGCTCTGTGTCCATGGGCACTGTGAGCCAGGCAGTCTGCTGCTCTCCTCTGCTCCTGAGTGCTTGGAGCTGGCTCACAGGGATGAACAGTCCAAACAACCTCAGGTGCCTTTGGATGAAACCAACTGTGACTGCCTCTTTCTATCTATTATTTGACAGCCTGAAGTTTTGCCAGAAGCCATAAAGAAATTATTTGTCTAAAGCCAGTGGCTTGAAGTTTGGCTTTTAAATCTGCATTTAGCTACCTCCTTAAATACCCTGATATTAAAAAAAGATGCTCACACCGAAACTCAATACTTATGAAAGTTATATTTTTCCCAACCACATCTACACAGCACTTACCACAGTGGAGCCTGAGTTTGGGACTAAAAAAATGCTCTAGGTGTAGGTATAGATTGTAATGAAGTACTAAATGACTGCAGACAAGGCTGGAGCTAAAACCTCACTTATTGCTGGCAGAACAGAAATCATATTCATACCTCAGGAGCAGAAAACGTCAAAGATCTTTTGGAGCTTTACCTTACATCTAGGTAGACTGGTGGAAAACTAAACAATGTGCTGACTCAGAGGAATCAGAATCATATCCACAAAAAAATCCATTATCACAGACATTGACTGTCTAAGTAGAAGTATCTGGCAGAGAAATGCAATAGGATTTCCCAAAGGGAGAGCTGTGAGAAAGGAGCACTGGGGAGAGCCTCAGGTCCTGGGAACTTGAGGGTCCTTTCAGCTGCTTGGACATATCCATTACCAAAAAGCTGCTGTTTTGATTATGGTATTTCTTATATATGACAGGATCTTTTCTTCTAAGGATATCAGTGGTCCTCAGCTCAAGCAAAAAAAATCCTGTCTTGTGGATAATTACACCAATTAGGAAGAAGTAATGGGAAAAATAATAGCTAAAATGATAAACTGGTGAATAATGAGAAACATACCTAAATGTTCCAGCTAACGTTAACAGGCTGAAAACAGATTTAACATTCAACAGCTGCAAGGAAAAATGTTTGGCGTCCCTGCCTCTGCAAGCCAGTTCAAGGAAAGGGAAGGCTATTAAGCTTGAACAATGTCAGCTAAAAGCCTCTCACCTCCCCTGAAGCCCTGCTTGTATACGTGACCGTACAGTACTGGTCATTTCCCATCTTCTTAGGCACATATCTCATGTAAGAGATTTTGCTGGCTTGCACCACTTTTTGACTTGGAAATTTGTATCCAAATAACATTGGTTTCCTGTTATGCTTTTCTTGTAGCACTTTATCAAACAGCAGGAATTTATGCTGTTCCTGAGGGCAATCTATTAAAATGAATCATTCCTTATGGGTTTTCACTGCGAGCAATGCACCATGTTCAGGGCTTACTGTCAATTGTGAATGAACATAAACTAAATCCAGTTTTGCAAATGCCTGCTTACCTAGCACAGATATATCATATATGCATAGTAAATCTTCAATTTAAAAACATCACAGGTAACTGATATACCCAGACCGACCTGCTCGCTCTGCTGGATGATTTAATCATTAATTTTATAAATCCATTTTATTTGTCTCCTTATAGGCATGGTGAACAGAACTCCTTCTTGATGAGATAGTTACTCCCCTTGTGGTTTTGACTGAATTATTTAAAATTAAGTTGCTCAGTACAGTAGTGTTCCAACATTGTTTGATATTCAAGTCTGCCACTCTTATTTTGAGTTGTACTACTTGTGCCTGTAGTTGCATTCTCAATTGACGTGGTGACTTTCCCAGTTTAAGAATATGAAAAGATCATCGTTTGTTAGGAAAAGGTGCTCTGTGACTTGAATATCTCAGGTACCGATCTGAGGTGTCACTCATTAATTCTAAATTCATGCTTCCAGTTAAGAGTTTTTAGCTCCTGTGTACTGCATGGACTACTGAGTGTTATTTTGAGGGCATGAGAGATAAAGGGTTTCTAAATCAAAGCTGGTTTGTTTTCTTCATTTTTGGTGTCAATGCTGATGTGAATCTTGTGTTATCATTGATGGGATATTTTTATACTTCATGGAAGAAGGCGCAAAGCTATTTTTTTTGGTCTTTAGTTGTAATATTAACATAAAAAATATGCCACAGTCTTTCTTTCTGATTCACATGATTTCATTTGATCAAGAAAACTCTATTCTGTCCAGCCCTATAATGACCATGTAATTACACTCAATAGAAAAAAGACAACTTCAAAAATTGCTGGTTACTGTAGTTTCTTCACTAATCGCTTGGAAAAGTGATAACACGTGTTTAAGTATTGTCCTCATGGCCGATTAATAGCATCATTAGGTTTTACTGGGAAAAAACTTACGCTAATTTTGGTTCTTACACACTGTGAGCTTAGATATGACTGCATTTTCAAAACTGATCTCTGCTTTCATGCATCTCAGTTTTCATTGTTCAATTTCAGATGTGCAGGCTTTGAGTTGAAAGGTTCAAAGCATCTAAAATGCAAGAGACACTGGGCAGCACCTCTGTAAATTAACCCCTTAATTCTGGGCATGGCAAATTTTCTTTGTGTGCATAATCTTGTCACCAAATATGAAATTTTAATTGACTTAAAAATATCAATGTCAATGGCTCAAATTTGCCACCTAGTTTTTAGCAGAGCAATGGTGGTTTGCATGCTTGGTTGGGCTACTAGAGATCCCTTTTCTGTCTAAGGAAATATGAACCTTAAACTCTAGGGCCAGTGGCTTGGCCACCTGGGTTGTGACCTTAGAGGGAGGAGCAGAGGCACAAAGGGAGTGCTGATGAGTGCCAACACCATCAGGTTCAACACTGTCCTGCCTGTGGGACTCCTCCTAGAAAACCCTGAAAACACAGGCATCACTTTTCAAAGCACAGGGTAGAAAAATGCTGTGTTTTGTCTTGTTTTACATGTTTTACATGTCTTACATCAGTTTCTTGTGCTGTTTTATCTGACGGATTGTAGCAGTTGCTTATATAAAACCCACTAAGTGGCTGCTATGTATTTTTAGAATCATTTAAAATGTTTCCTTCATAAGGGGCAGAATCTTGTTTCTTTCCTTTTTTTTTTTTTTTTTTTTTTTTTTTTAGGTTTATTTTTGTACTGTAAATATGAAACAGAAGATAAGGAAATGTGAATCATTTTGTATACAAGTAAATTTTAGGCAGTTCCATTTGCCTTTTTTCTGCATAGTATTCACATCCAATTTGCATTATGCGTTGTATCAATTCGCTGATTGTTTATACTGATAGACCACCATTCTAGCAATAAGTACAAAAGAGCAGGAAAAAAGGATTGTGATTTTAAACTAACTTTAGTTTTTAGATTTATTTCTCAGCCTTCATTTCACAGAAATGATTGTTGTTGTGAAGTTTTTTTTTTCTTCCATGAAAAATGCTTTTAATTCATAAACTCATTAAAAAAATGAATAGGTAGTGATAGCTGCCTTTCATTCTGTCTTTCATAAGCCATTTAAAAGTGAATGTAGTATTTGAATTGCAAACTCAGCTCTTGCCTTCATCCGTGGAACAATCACAGTGGTAGACGCAGAACGATGATAATATTTCATCAAAGTGCTTTAACCCCAGCCTTGTCGGCTTGTCTCCCAGATAACAAGGTAGCACAATCTCTGTGATTAATTAAGCTATGTTTATAAAACTGAAAGAAGATAAAAGGCTTTGGAGAACTGTACATTGTTAAATGGTATAAAAACCACACAAAATGTTCTGTTCCAAACTTTGCTGTATGCATTTGGTAGTTTCAGAAATTTCTGGTTCTTCTGCAACACAGACAGAAACATCTGGAGTAAACCTGCAAGTTCCTCTTGTCCACAGAAAGAATCAAAATAATGGACATCAGTTACTGCCAACATACAGATTTTAAATTGATCTTGGTTCTAAATATGTGAATGAGAAGAGGTGATCATAAATATGGCAAGAATGCTGGAAAACCCAGGGATTACTCCTGATTATTGCTGAACTTCTGTAGTAATTAAAACAGGAGAGTGAACACTTGAGGTAGTAAACATTTTGCTCCCTTTCTCCTAAGAATTAAGAACAATAAAAACAGAAAATAATTTCTAAAAAATTATGAATCTAAAATGTCATGAAGTTGGCAAGCATCTTAACATGTTTCTCTTTGGGTTGTAAGATCTAGAAATTTTATTTAATATCAACCTATTTCCTTTACCCAGCTCTGTGGTGGGAAGTGTGCCTGTGCATCCCTTATGCTCTTGAGTGGGGAGAATCTGGCAGGGAATAAGAAAGGAAGAAAGGAGGGGATCACCAGAAACAAATTCTCTTAACAATATTTTCTACTGAAAATATACAGTTGATGTTGTTTGACATACATTTTTTTTTTTCCCTCAAAAAATGTGAGTATCTTGATCTAAAAAGTGCTAAGCAAATATGTCTGGCTGAAAATTGTCAATGCTTCTGGCTTTGATAAATATGTTCAGAATGCTCATTTTCAGATTTTTTTTTCCAATTCTCCAAATCCTCCAAATGGAGCTTTTTTATTGTGGAAATTTCTACCTGACTAAAAACTCCATCTTTTTCACATTAAGTCATTTTTAATACTTTTAACCACATTTATTATGAAAATGCATAACTTGGGTCTTAGGCTTTCCAAAAAGCTGACTGCTGTCCCAAAGCTTATGTCTGTCGTTGCCTATCCATGGAGAGTTGAATACTGTGTTTCAGGTAGGCAGTTCTGTTGTGACCATACCATGATCCTGTGAGACCAGAATCATTGCATGATGTGGGCTTTGGGAAACGGTTTCCTAAATCTAGGATGTGGCTCCTGGGCTACTGCTGTGGTATAACTTGTGGTGCCCTCCCTGCACCTCCCTGTTTAATGAACATTTACCTCAGAGACACTTGTCTTTGTGTCTGCACAGACTCTGCATTGAAGGCAGACGCCTTCAATGAGCAGCATCACACAGAGCAAGTCTGCCAGCAGGAAAATCTCTGTATTTGCTGATGCCAAAGTAAGATGTTGTTTAGCCCATGTGATGCTGGATGGGGATATTAAAGAGGAGCAGATTAATGTGTTTCATTTGCAATTGCACTGAAGTATACTTCAAAATACAAATTAAAGGACAAATCCTGAAGGTTACTGAACATACACAGAGCCCAGTGAAGTCAGTGGGAACTGCAGCTGCTTTGGACCCTCTGAGAGCTGACCTGAATAAAGGACAAATGTCAAGCATATCAATTGAAAGTCTTGGGGCCATAACTGCATTACACACAAGTCTAATTGTGTTTATCAGCAGAGTGATGCTACATCTCTTTTGCTGTTGATTTAGGAAATCCAACTTTTCATTGACTCAACAGCAGCTTTGAATGCCCCAAGCACTTAAATAAATCTAATCACAAGAAATCCTTCCTCTTCATCATTTCGCTTGCATTAATCCTCCTTAAAGTACCATCTCATCAGCAGAGACTGAGGCAAGTGTATCTTGCTTCTTGCTGGTAGCAGGGAGCAAATCACACACTGGGGAATGAGACATCCTTTCCATACTGCATCTTTCATGCATATTTTATCTTCTTCACTGTAAGACGCTAACACTGATGAGCCCTGTGGGTCCTAAAGATTCAAACACAATGGCAAAATATGAAGATTAAGCCTAGAGAAAAAATTGGATTTCACTTCCTCCAACCCTGAAAAGAGCTGATTTTTTCCATGAAAGAAAAATTTCCATTAGAGTGTTTTCCAGTAAAAATTGCTTCCTCTGGAAAACTGGGTTTCTGATTAAAAGAGCATTTTC